TCGTATTACCCAATTTATTAAACGAAAAAGGGAAAATACAGTAAAACATTTTGGATGTTACAATGATCATTTATTATATTATTTATGGCATCAAGCATGTACAGTATGAGCCAATCAGTGGCAGTAATGACAGAGCATGCGCTGTTACGCAAAAACCATGATAGAGTGAAGTCGCGGAAGTCGAAGTGCGAAGTGGCGAGGGTTCCCTGTATAGCAAAGCGCTCTCCCACTCTGCTGCAGAAATGGACTGTTAGTTGCGCTCATGTAATGGTCTGCAGTGGTTCTCTTTCTGTTTTGCTTCCCAGCACTCCTGAGATGGTGATGTTATTCACATGGTGCAAGATGACATGTCATCACACTGATATCTTAATTTACTGAGTGAAAAAAGAAACAAAAAATGAAAGTAACTTGGTTTCCATTAAAGACGGGTACCTGAAGCTGCACATTTTCCTTCACATTCCACTGGTAAAGACTAATTTTAACAAACAAACTCACTGCCATCAATTTAGTGACAAATTTTAGTGACCTTACAGGGTGGAACTACCCCTGTAAGTTTCTGAGACTGTAATTGTTTGTGGGAGTTTTTATCCCAAGGAGCTGCTGGTAGTTTTGAACTGCTGGCCTTGTGATTAGCCTCAGCGCAATGTATAATCATTATGCTACCAGGGGTTGACCAAATGTAGCTGCAGAGTCAACTGTGAAATAGAATTTATTGTGGTTTTAACTGAGCTTCTGGGCGTCATGGCCTAAGATAGCTTGTCCAAATTTTAAAGTTGCTACAAAGTCCTGTAAGACAAAAGCCATTTCTACAGAAGACAAGGTCTAGCAATCAAACTAAACTTGTGAAAGTAAGTAGTAAGCTTATGACAAAGATCGTCTTTTCAATCAGTGAGATTGCAAGTATAACCATATTTCCATTTGGATGGAAACAAAATTAAACTCTCACATCACACCCCATAAATAAATTCCACTTGAGTTAAAACCATAAATATAAAGCTTCTCAAATAGGAAAAATTTGATAAAATGCTGTCTAAAGCATAAGACACAGAGTTACAAATGAAAAAGCATATTTTCATTATAAAATTGTAAACTTTGCTTTTGGAAAAGACATCAAAAGCAAAAATGAAAGGCAAATGACAAGAAAACATCTTAATAAATTTTTTAATTCTTTAATTAATTGTTAAATTATTAAAATGAACACCAACACAAAATGATAGGGGCCAATGAAAATTGTCTACATTTTATTACATATATGTCTAGGTAACTAGCTACAAGAAAACTCCAATGGAAAATGAACCAGAAAATATACTTAGGTTCGCCAATAATGGGAATTTTCATTAAAGTGACAATAACATAGCATTTTGACCCATCAGTTTGCAGAAATTACAACAATTACAGCCATCAGAACTAGGGATAATCCAAGTAAGTAGGCAGTCACTCATTGTTAGTAAGAATGTGAAATACAATGACACTTTTTAAAAATTAAACTTGAAGCAGCTATTTTTAAATCTAAGACTTCTGATTTCAACTCCAACATTTAATATGGCAATATTAATTTCTTATAAAATAGACTTTAAGACAAAATCAAGTATATGAAACAAAGAAGGGCAGTATATAATAACTGAAGGATCAAGTGAACAAGAAGGCATCACCATAATGTCTATGCATCCAGAGGAAGAATCTCAAAATACATTATTCGAATTCTTAGGAATTGAAGCAAGAAATAGACAACTGTACAATAATAGTAGTGGATTGTAATACACCACTTTGTGTGTGTGTGTTTTAAATAATTTTATTAGGGGCTCATACAATTCTTATCACAATCCATACATACATCAATTCTGTAAAGCACATTTGTACATTCGTTGCCGTCATCATTCTCAAAACATTTGCTCTCCACTTAAGCCCCTGGCATCAGCTCCTCATTTCCCCCCTCCCTCCCCCCTCTCCCCTTCCTCATGAACCCTTGATAATCTATAAATTATTATTATTTTGTCATATCTTACACTGTCTGATGTCTCCCTTCACCTACTTTTCTGTTGTCCACCTTAGGGAAGAGGTTATATGTAGATCCTTGTAATAGGTTCCCCCTTTCCAACCCACCCTCCCGATATTACCACTCTCACCACTGGTCCTGAAAGGATCATCCACCCTGGATTCCCTGTGTTTCCAGTTCCTGTCTGTACCAGTGTACATCCTCTGGTCTAGCCAGATTTGTAAGGAAGAATTGGGATCATGATAGTGGGGGAAGGGGGAAAGGAAGCATTTAGGAACTAGAGGAAAGTTGTATGTTTCATCATTGCTACATTGCTAAGGTGACCAGACATCCCCCTTTTGGCGGGACAGCCCCGATTTTTAACAACTTGTCCTGCTTCCCGCAGCGCTTTTAAAAAGTCCCGATTTTTGGAAAGAATGCACGACAAGCTAGGTAACGGCAGGAGAACGGGAAGGGAATATACGGTTTTCAGCTGCCATGGCTTTTTCGCTTGGTTATGTTTCTCTTTTTATTTTTCTTAATTTTATAATGTTAAACTTTAATAATAACAAGTAATTATTGAGAACTGCTGATCAAAGTTCGTATTGTTGATCACTTGTTTGACTTAATGAACAATGCCATTTTTTGTCATTGGCAACGACCAAAACATTTTGTAACTTTCTCTCAGATGATACACTTGCGTGCTAGTGCTAGTTAAATGAGTGATGTCAACAAATCAGCTATTCAGACAATTTAGGTAAGTAATTTATTTATTTATTTCATAAATACATAAATTTTCTTGAATTTAGCAGACAGTACTAGAATGATGTGCAAAAATCATTCGATCATATTACTCAAAATTTCCCATACAGTAATATTTCCGAAAATGATCTTTTTAATGAGGTATCATTATTAAAAATATATATTGATAAGGAAAAGGTTAAATCTTGGGCATCAGCAAAAATCACAATAGAGAACAAATGGTTTGAAATATTTCGTCATTTTTAAACAAACCATGTTCTATACAATAATGCACTAAAAATTGTGGAATACGCGCTGTCCTTACCAGGAACTAATGCTGCGACTGAACGCTTTTTTTCTATGGTAAATAAAGTGTGGACATCAGAAAATTCACAATTAAGTGTTGAGACTTTGAAAGCCATTTTATGTGTGAAATATAATTTAACAAATTCTTGTGAAAGTTTTCATGGCCTTTTAAACAACGACAGCAATCTACTTAAAAAAATTCACTCAAATGAGAAATATGCCAAAGAATAAAATAATACTATACATAATTTTTTATGTATTATATTTGTAAATTGTACTTATGTTGAAATAAAAATATATATATTACAATACTATTTTTGCATTCTATGAAAATTTTTGTTGCTCCATATAGACCAAATTTTTAATCAAGAACAGCCCCACCACCACCACCACCACCCCGCCCGGTCAATGGTGTCCCTCTTTACCAATGTTAAAATCTGGTCACCTTATAATTGCACCCTAACTGGCTCGTCTCCTCCCTGAAACCCTTCTGTAAGGGGATGTCCAGTGGCCTACAAGTGGGCTTTGGGTCTCCACTCTGCACTCCCCACCTCATTCACAATGATATGATTTTTTGTTGTGATGATCAATCATGGGTTTTATATCCAAAAAACATGTAGCAAAACTTCAAGAAGGCTATCCCCAATGAAAAAATACGTCAGAGATAAACCCCAATATGAAAAATAAAATAAAATAACACAAAAAATGTTGAAAACCAGATCAGGCCCCATGTGTATCAGAGGGGATCAACTGACAAGGTTTTAACTGTTCTAGTCAGGTTTATCATTTTGATCTCCTATAGTCTTCTCTCTGATGTATTCTGTTTGGCAACCAGTTTATCCTCATCCCTCCAGTATGGATAGAAGGAAATCGCCAAAGGCTTATTTCCTCTGTAGATCTCACCAAAGTATCTTGGGCTTCTTCCATTGTCATGCATAGCCTTCTGCAAACCAGAATCTCACAATTTAGATTCTGATACTATTCCCTCCTTCAGCTTCAGATTATATGATTTACAATCCTTTTGTCACTGATGTTGGTGTGCTTCTT